ATGAAAGTTTGAATTCCCTCTGTTTCATCAAATGACCATTTCACCCCTCGATGCATTATGCTTAATTTTGCTGGGTAAGTGGTTCTTGGTTGTTGTTCTAGCTCCTTTGCCTTCCAGAATGTGATGTTCCCTCAACTCCGGTCCTTTAATGTTGCAGCCGTCAAGTCCTGTGTAATCCTGATTGTGAATCCTCAATATTTGAATTGTTTCTTTCTGGCCACTTGTAGTGTTTTTGTTTTTTTTTTCTTGACCTAATATTTCTGAAACTTGGCTATACTATGTCTTGGAGTCTTTATTTTAGGATCTCTTTCCTGAGGTGATCACTGGGATTCTTTAAAACCTATTTTGCCCTCTGGTTTCAGGACATCAGGGCAATTTTATTTGATAATTTTTTTGAAAGATGCTGTGCAGGTCCTCCTTTTGATTATGTCTTTCAGGTAGTCCGGTGATTCTGATATTGTCCCTCCTGGATCTGTTTTCTAGGTCACTTGTTTTTCTCATGAGGTTTTTTACATTATCTTCTGTTTTTTCAATTCTTCTGATTTTGTTTGACTTATTCTTGTTGTCTCATAGAGTCATTAGCTTCCACTTGCCCAATTCTAACTTTTTAAGTATTGTTTTCCTCAATTAGTTTTTATACTTTCTTTTCCATTTGGCTAATTGTAATTTTTAAGGAGTTGTTTTCTTCAGTGGATTTTTGTATCTCTTTTTCCATTTGACCAATTTTACTTTTCAAGCAGTTGTTTTCTTTTCCCAAGCTGTTGACTCTTCATAATTCTTTTGCATCACTCTCAGTTCATTCCTCAATATTTATTCTACCTCTCATATGATTTTTAAGCTCCTTTTTAAGCTGTTCCATAAATTCTTTGTGGGCTTGAAACAGCTTCCTATTTTCCTTTGCAGTTTGACCCATAGGATTTTGACATTGTTGTTCTCTTTTGAGTTTGTGTCTTGGTCTCCCTGTCACCATAATAACTTTCTATGATCAGATGTTTTTTTTTGTTGTTTTTTTCTCATCTTTTTTTGATGGCCTTCTTCCTTTCTTGTAAATTTGATCTCTGCTCCCAGCATAGAATGGGCTCTGCCTTAGACTTCTTGTGTCAGTGGCTGTAAGCCCTGGCTATTTACCTGGTGCTACACTAATGTTGCCCTGAGACTCACAGGGGACTCTCATGTCTGGTGCTTGTGTTGAGGGGATGGCTGGTGTTGCTGAAGGCCGCAGTTGTCTGGCAGTTTACCTGGTGCTGAGCTAGGGTCCTAGTGCTAGTTTCTGACATGCTGAGGCCCACTGGGGTTTTTCTGTGTTTCCATGGGGCTACACTGGAGCCCATGGAGTGATACAGTGAAGGCAATAAAGGCATGAAGCCTGGCCACTGGTGGGTGCCTTTTTTCCTCCCAGGCTGTGTTGAAGTATGTGGAGGTCCTGCTGCTGGACTACCTGTTTGCCTGTGGCTATGCTGAAGCATGTGGTGGCTCTCCAAGTTGGAGTCAACTGGTTCCCCTGGCTATGCTGAGGTGCATTGGGCATCTGGTGGCATTTGCCTGCTCCGTCACACTGAGGCTTAAGATCACCTACTGGTTTGCCAAGGTGGGGCTTGTTGGGATGCTTCCTGTCCTGGAGTGCACTCCCCTTTTTACCTGAGTGAGACATACCTTTCTTGCTGATTCTCTAAGTCTCCCAGGCTAAAAGACCACTGAATTCCACTTTCCTACTGGCTCCACTATTCCAAGATTTGTTCTGGGGAGCTATTTTGTGGTTGTTTGGAGGCAAATATAGGAGAGTTACAGCAATTTAGTGATTACTCTTCCATCTTGGCTTCTGGAAGTCTATTTTTAATGTCATAGAGGAGGAAAAGAAACGTTAGTCAAATGAACAGATTTTATGTTTTCTGTGTATTACAAATATAGACATTTTACAAGGATGCCAGGTACAGAGCATGATAATGACTTCCTGTTGCAAACAAACTAGCTCAGAAATATTATGGTAAAGGTTAAGTGGTAGCTTTGCTAAACAAAAATGTCTGGATTTAGCAGGAGAACAACATCTAACAAAAGAGGAAGATTTGATTTTTTCCCTGTGATGCTAAAGAATAAGGAGTTTATAGGAATGATTGCTTTGTTTTTTTTTTAACTACCAATAAATCAGTATATGATTTAGTTTTTTTTCCTATGTAGCTATTATAATCTCTAGGCTTCTATCTTAACTCACATTTTAAATGAACAATTGAATTCCCCCAAAGAAAAACCAACTCCATCTTCCCTTCAGAGTTCTAGAGGTATTCCCAAAGGGTAAAATGTTTCTCTCTAAAATTATCTAATCCAGCCTGCATTCCACTGTTTTCTCTCATATGTCAATAGACAGTGCCAGATAATACCTACTCAATATGATCTAACCAGCATTTACCACTCCAGTTTCATTTAACCAATGAATATCATTTGGCTTCTACAAATCTGATTTACTGAAAAGATGTAGTAGATAGTGAAGTACAAACGTTTCTTTCTAATACTCAAGGATACATTCTGTGCTATGCCATCAAATATTCTTCAGAATATGTCATAGCCAATGAACAAGTCATTTACTTTTGGCTGCCTTCAATCCAGTACTATGTGGAATAAAGAAGAGCACTTGGGGCTTTATTCCTTACAAAGCTTGGCTTTTTACAGTCTCTAGCAAGAACTTCCAGCACTGGACCCTGGTGGCTCACTATCAAAACTTTTCAAAGCTCACAAAGTTGATGCTAAAGTTAAAGGAACAAACATTTTTTAAGCACCTGCCATGTGCTGGACACTTTGCTAAGTGCCTTACAAATATTAACTCATTCAGTCCTCACAACTACCCTGGGAAGTAGCTGTTCTTATTGTTCCCATTTTACAGTTGATTAAGCTGAGGAATACAGAGGCGAAATAAGAATACTGGAAAGGTAGGGATGATTTTATTTTTAATCCCAGAAGTAATAGGGATACAACTGAGTTTATTGAATGAATAGTCAGGTCAGGCCTATACTTTAGGAAGATCACTTCAACAGTTTAATGGAGGATGGACTGGAATATGGAGTGAACTGAGTTAGGAAACCAACCAGAGGTCTACTTTTAACATTATTAGTATCTAAGTTTCTTGTTATTTTGGTGTTTACTTCATTTAAAAATAAATAATATGTCTTCCTTTTTTGATGTTTCCAATAAATCTACAAATTAAATTTATATCAGTCCTCTGTCACAGACCATAACACCTTTAAAACTTCATAGGAAGTTGTAGAGAATGGCTTTGGCCAAAATATTCATCACACTCAGGCCAACCTTGGACTCAGCCTCTCCAAAGTCTGGTTCTCAGATGACAGATGCTCATTCTATCTCCATACCTTAGCTCAAAATCTGGTGAGAATAAACAAAACAAATATTTCTTTTCATAGACTTTGAGAATTCAAGATCATCTCTATGTTGCAATGAAGCAATAGTCAATGAACTAGCCCTCATTAAGTGCCTACTGTGTGCCAGACACTGTGATAAGAGATGGGAATACAAAGAAAGATTTAAAAAAAAAAAGCAGTCTTGAGGAAGTCACAGTGTAATGGGAGAGACAGCATGTAAACACTCATAAACAAATGAGATATGTACACCTTAAATTGGGGTAAGTCTCAAAATGAAGGCATTAAGATTAAAACTGTGATAGAGGTCCTCTATCACAGAATGAATATTGGGAAAATGGAGGAGGATTTGAGGAATATTTGATTTGTGTGTACATTATTTTCTATTTTTATTTATCTTGATTATTCTTTAAAATGTGTGATTATAGTTTCCCTCAGGATAAGAAAATTTTTAATTTTCTTACCAACAATGAAAACTTTGTCTTGTGCACAGAATAGACATTAGAAGTATATATGGAAAATCAATTTCTTTTTTTTTTTAAACTATGTTCACTTTTTTCACATACTCCTTGCTTTCCCCTTCTTAATCTGGGAACTAATCATATTAGTATCATAATGCAACCGTGGCTATTGGAAAGTACACATCATTATATTGTTCTTTGGTTCCATTCAGCATTCCTTTCACCTCATCCTTCACTATCATTCCCCTCTATGTGTTCTCACCTCCTATTGGAATGTAAGGCCTTGCAAACACAGTCTGCTTTTTGTGTTTTTGTTTTTTTTTGTTGTGGTGGTGTGGTAGTGGTTGTTTACATTTGTTTAACCAGTGCTTAGTATAGTCCTTGATGTATAGAGAGTGACTAATAAGTCTTCCATTTTAAAGCATAAAAGTTTTAAATAATTTTTATAGTTAAGAAAATCTAGCTACTACCACTATTCCAGTTTTATTTTATACTATTTTCCTTTGTACACAGTCAAAATAGGCTTAGCTCTTCTCCACATGTAGTAGTGCATCTTCAACCTTTTTGCCTTTGCGTAAGTGGTTTCCCAATGTTGAGACTGCATTCCCTTCTTACCTCTTCCTCATAGCTCCCTTCAAAGTATAGCTCAGTTGCCACCTTCTAACTGAGGCTTTTCCTTATTTGCAAGCTATTAATAATACTCTCACCCTCTTGAAAATGCTTTCCACTACTTTCTACGTATTTGTTACTCACTGATGTGTGCATACATATTATATCACTTAATTCCCTTAGTAAAATATACAATAGAATGCATCTTTGCCAAGAAAACCTGTCATGAAGAATTAGACATGACTGAAATAACAACAACAACAACAACAACAGAATATACAAACTCAGAAGTAAAATCCTATTTTTTCCCTTAAGAAATGATATAAATTGTACTTTAGAAAGGTTGGAGGAAACAATTAAATTCAAAGATATAATTCAGTAGATGTTGAGGAGCATTGCTACTTGAAACCTCAAATTCATTAAAAATTAATTATTATCCTTTTCAATGACAGTAGTATTTCATTGTAATTAACATGAAATATTGAGTATTTTAAAAATACAACAAATGGACAATTTATCATAAATTCTTCATTGTTATGTCCTAAATAGTTATGCTTTTCCACAGACATTTCCACTGGGCCTAGGAGATGGGCAGCTTTATACCTGGACAGATGGTTTGAAAAGAAAAGATTGGCATGACTATGGAAGCATTCAGAAAGATGCTCTCCGTTCAGGTAAGAAACTCTGAGTGAGCCAAAATGCTGTGTTGACTATTCTTTTTTTTTTTTCCACTTTAAGGTTAACTAATCCAAGAAGTTATCTGGCATACATTGAGATATACCTTAAGGAGACAGTCAAAGCCAATGGCAGAAAGAAATAGGCTTGCTAAAGTTTCAGAGAGTAGTGATAAATAAATATAGAAATGGTTATGTGATATTTGCCACAAAGTCTTCATAATCTATATACCTACAGAACTCAGAATTATAGAATATGAATGAACCTCAAAAGTCAGTCCGACATTTCAATAAGTTGATCAACTAGCATTTTTACTAAATGCTTATTATGTTTCAGATATCGTGCTGTTGTTCAATCATTTTCGATCATTTCTAGCTCCTTGTGACCTCATTTGGGGTTTTTGTGGCAAAGATACTATAGCAATTTGCCATTTCCTTTTCCAGCTCATTTTATAGATGAGGAAACTGAGAAAAACGGGATTAAGTGACTTGCCCAGGATCACACAACTATTAAATGTCTGAGGCCAGATTTAAACTCAGGAAGAGAGTCTTCCTGCCTCCAGGACCTGTACTCTATCCACTGTACTACCTAGTTGTCCTGACACTGTGCTAACCCTTCACAAATGAGAAATTTGATGACCGGAAAGTACAGTTGATTTACTCAAACTCACACAACTAATATTTAGGAGAATTGCCTTGTCAACCTTTTTAATTCCAAGTCAAGTTTCCTCTATGCAGTACATTTTCTCCATGTCATTTCTCTTAACTAGACCTGTGTTTCCAGTGATGTTGCAATCTCCCAGTGAGGAAACTTCTACCAATGCAGATAAGCCGCTGCTCTGCTCTTGATAGTTGTTTAGTTGCTTACAGCACTAAGAGGTTAAGCAACTTGGCCAAGGCCACCAAACCATTATGTGACAAGGAAAGATGTTAAAGATTTCCTCACTCTGGCCAATTTTCCATCAGTTCTGCCATTTATTGTCTCTGTAAGTACAGTATAATATAAAGTCCTCCATTATGATTTCTTTATAATGATTTCTTAGGAAGTGAAGTGGTATAGTTGCACTGCTTCTTAAACTGTGGGTTAAACTGTGAGTGGAAGAAGTTTAAGAAGCCCTGTGGATACTATGACAGACTTGCAGTCAATATAGACCTTAGTTCAAATTCTGCCTCAGACATTGGGCAGTAATGCTCTAAATTACCTTATACTTTCAGTTGCCTGTATCCATGTTATTAATTCCTGTAGTGAGCAGCTTGAAACAATGGCCATGTCATAGCCCCTAGAGTCAAAAGCCTTGGAATTTGGTTTAAATCCTGCCTCTAATATTCACTGTCTGTGTATCCTTGGGAAAATTGCTTAAGTCCTTCCCATTTGCCCCAGTTGCTTTAGTTGTAAATCCAAAAGATAAAACTAGACTGCCTCTGGTCCGAAGAATTCAAGGACATGAGGACAAAAACAATATGATCTGAAATATTTGTATTTAGTACAGTATCTTGCACGTAGTAAATAATTTAAAATATTGGTTAAATTGAGACTCTACCTTGTACTACCTCTGGTGTAAGATTAGGAACAGATCACATGTGTTAGGTAGCAATGGTTTGAGGGGAACAAGGACTATGAGGGAAAGGATATTTACTAACCTTTAGCAACTGAAAGGAAAGGAAGTAAGCAAACATTTATTGAGGATCACTGTTTTGGGAAGACTGCTAATTGTAAAATATTTTTAAAAAAATGTGGTTGGGCAGTTATAAGTCAGTGATTAACCAAATGCTACAGTTGAAGGCACGACAGGAAAAGGTGAAATTATTGATTCACCTTTTTAAAATGTAGCGTAAGATTCGACTAGCTTTCTTTTCAGATATATAACACTATTGGATACATTGACTTCATTGTCAACTAAAGCTTGCAGGTCTCAACCTATGGTACATGGACTCCTGGGCCATAGATAGATTTCAGGAGGTCTTTGTCACATGAATTGCTATCAGGTCCTTATATAGGTGAACTGAGGACTTGACATTCACTTATGTTAAATTTTAACCTGTTAGTTTCAAAATAAATTCTAGCCTTTCAAGGGCATTTTGAATCTTGATTCTGCCATCCATTGTATTAGCTATTCTTCCAGTTTTGTATTATCGGAGTTGACTCTCAACTCATCTAAAATGTCATTCACAAATTAGTCAAGTAGTTTGTCCTAGTTCATGTAACGATATTAGAGGTAGAGCAAAGACTATAACCCATATCCTGGAGACAGGTAATTCTATCTTCTGTGTAGCATATGAGAGCAATGAATCTGCAGTCAGAGGAACTAGATTTTAATCTCAGCTCTTATGGGCAAGTCACAACCACACTATGCTTCAATTTCATCATCTGTGAAATGAAGGTTTTGGGCTTCATGGGAGATTCTTCATCTTTTTGATAGTGTCATGGACCCTTTTGATAATCTGGTTAAGCCTATGGGCTGCTTCTCAGAAATATATAGATATAGATATAGATATAGATATAGATATAGATATAGATATAGATATAGATATAGATATAGATATAGATATAGATATATAGATATAGATATAGAAAGATAGATATAGATAGATACATACACACATATATAATGTTAAATTTCAGTTATGAGTTAGTGAAAATAAAATGTTTTTCCCATCTAAATTCAGACTCCATTCTAAATGCAGAGTCTCTTGTAATAATTGGGAATGATAGGGGAATGGAGTTCATTGGTAATCCTGAATAAAGCAATTTCTGTAGAATAGGGTGACTGGGATCCAGATTGCAAAGTGAAGAAGTAATGAACTACAGACATGAGGCCCACCAAAGGTCACACAGATATTAAATGGCAGAGCCAGGATTTAAACCTATCCTCTTATTCAAACTCCAATACACTGCAGCCAGTGCAATAAATTAAATGCATGTTTAAATTAAATGTATGTTTATTAATTATCTTAGTTGTGAAATAACAAATAAGGTAAAGGAGAAAATTATAAAATACCTTTAAAAACATTTTATAGGAGTAAATAAAGTCCTGTCCTTCAAAGAAAATGTAAATATAGCCAGACTTTGATAATTCTTCCTTCCTTCCTCCAATGCCTCCTTCTTCTTTATTCTTTTGTCTCTCCATTCCTCTGCCTATCCTCAGTATTTCATCTCTTTACACAAATATAGATAAACATGGTAACGCTAGCCTATTCAAGGTTTGAATCCATGATTTCCCTTTTAAAAATTCAACTGGTCTGTCCCTGTCCTTGTCTTGCCTCTTGCCACCCTCTACCACCAGGCAGAGCTCATGATAGCGGGTAGGGAAAGATCAGGGGGACCAATAGGAGGACTTTAAGGTTAGTCACTTTCATCTTTAAAAAAAGACAGGCTGTTAGTCTCACTGTCAGTATCCTATTGCTTCACAAAGGAAAACTATCTGAGGTAATTTTTTCACATTTGCCCTTATCTTACCTCTCTCTTCAACTTCACTAAGATCAAAATCTCATATATTAAAAATGAAATGGAACCCACGAGACCTTAATCGGTGCCAAGGGGGATAAAATATTTAAAAAGTACTAACTTCTTTTCTCAGCTTTTGAAATAAGTATGACCTTAGTTATGGATGTCCTTAATCCTTAGCTTCCTTGAATTTTTGTTTCCTTGTAAAACCAGTTAATAGGTGACAAAAGTTTGGATTTTGTCCCAGCATTAACAGTAATATTTACTAAGTATATTATCTGGGGTGTAGAATGTAACAAAAGCTTTGTACTTATTTTTCGGTGGGTGAATGAAAACTATTAATATAAGAGAAGGTAATTCTTGTCTCCTTTTCCTTTTCTACCCTGTTTTCAACAGCTTGTCTCCATCTCCTGTCTTCCCTTGCTTCTTTCAAATATTATATAATATTATACCCTCTGCAAGAAACCTTCCCAGATCATTCTTCAAACTAGAACCTGCCCTCTGAGATTACCTCTAATTTAGCCTGTATAAATTGTACATAGTTACTTGCATGCTGTCTCCCTCATTGGAATGTGAGATCCTTGTAGACACAAACTAGTTTTGCCTTGCTTTATGTTACTAATGCTTAACATAGTTCCTGGCACAAAGTAAATACTTAAATAAATACATGTTGACTTTATTGGACTAGCATCAATAAGAGATGTTGGGTGAGGCATTTTATCTTTTTGCTTTTTGGTGAGGCAATGGGGATTAAGTGACTTGACCAGGGTCACACAGCTAGTAAGTGTCAAGTATCTGAGATCACATTTGAACTCAGGTCCTCCTGACTCCGGGCCGGTGCTCTATCCACTGTGCCACCTGGCTGCACTGGGTGAGGCATTTTAAAATAGTTCTCCATTTTCCTTTCCCAATAACAAGAGGAAAGGGAATAAATAAATCACAAATATTTATTAAGGACCTACTAGGTACCACAAAAAAACTAGAATCAGACCCAAGAGTCATGGATGTTTTTAATATTAAAAGTTATTTGGACTCATTTTCTTTTATTGTGTTTTGTTGGTGAAGAGAAAGGTTCCTTTAATTCAATTCTCAAGTTAGTTTTCTAAATGCTTATAATGCTTAACCGTTCCATGTATCAGATTCACATATGCAAATAGTGTATGTATTGCTTTATCTAGGTCATATTTTTGGTCAAAGAATATGCAGTATTCAGTATCTTAAAATTATTTTATTGGCACACTAAACATTTTAGTTTTTAATCTCATCTATTTTTCAGAAATATATGAAATGCTAAAAAACAAAACAAAATATGAACTACTAGGTTTTAAACTCCTTGAGGGTAAGCATCATTTATTATTTATTGTGGCATCTTCCTCAGGGGCTATCCTACTTTGCCAATAATAGATACTTAACAAAAGTTTTTTTTTTCTTTTCTTTTTAAAATGAAAGATTGATTGAAAGTGATCTGGAAACCTCTTGTATAGGACTTGTTAGTTGATAAGAACGTAGTGTTCAACAACAGCATTTTAAAATTCTTTGGTGATAAAATTTCTAT